AATATTATCAAACATACTGTGAAAATTTCCCTGCTCTGTTAAACATCATTTGGGAAATATTTAAAAAAGTTAAAAAAAGTCAAAAGGGGGCTAATAATTCTGACTTCAACTGTATGTTTTGGTATATATTAATAGGAAACACGTGCATAACAGAAAAGCAGAATCTTTATAATAGGGTTGGAAAGAAAGTAGAATAACTGATTAACCATAAGAAGACTAATGCAATAAACCGGTTTACAAGAACTCATCATTATACAAGACCAAAACAAACAAAAGGCGAAAATGTGAAATGTATTTTTATTAATCTATCAATCTAATTGTGATAAGAATCATTAAATTTAATGTTTTCACTTAAATTTTAATCAAAGTTTGGGTAGTTTTGGTTTTTATTTTGTAATAAATATTCTTTATATGCCACAGTCACATCATTCTACAGCCAAAGACCGGTTACTCACTGAAGCTAAGCAGGGCTGAGCCTGGTCAGTACCTGGATGGGAGACCACATGAGAAAACTAGGTTGCTGTTGGAAGTGGCCTAAATGAGGTCAGCAGAGGGCGCTTAACCCGTGAGTCCTAATGCCCCAGTATAGTGAAGAGGACACTAAGTCAGTCAGTGAGCACTGTCTTTCAGATGAGACATTAAACTGAGGTCCTGACTCTCTGTGGTCATTAAAAATCCCATGGCACTTCTCGTAAAGAGTAGTCTTGGCCAAATTCCCTCCATCGGCCCATACCCATCATGGCCTGTGGCTGCTGTCGCATCATCCAAGTGGATGCAGCACACTGGTGGTGGTGTGGAGAGACCCCTCTCTCATGATTGTAAAACCCTTTGGGTGTTTGGCCATACACAATAAATGTGCTATATAAATACGCACATTATATTATATATAAAATTACATTTTTATATATAAATATTTTAACAGATTTAAAAGATTGATTGACTTTACATTCACTTTTACATTTAATATCTAATATCATGCAGATTGTGTTGTTTTTAAAGATGTCACTTTATAAACAATAATGGCGTTTATGAAAAAAATCCTATGCTTTATTTTCCTGTTTTCAATCTTTTAAAGGAATTCCATCAAGTCTAGACACTTGTATTTGTAAGCTGAGCAGATATCCTTTATAACAGTGAGCTGTAATGTTCAGACTGATGAAACGGTACAGTTTCCGTTTTAGTTTTGACTATAATAATCATAGTGCCTCAGGCATTAGCTCGATGTCTAATCTATAATCCAAAAAAATACACTGTATTCAATCCAATTATTAGTTCAATTGTACATGTATATACTGCCACTGCATTTCCAAATCTCCTGTATACATTATAATGGCCTACTTCTGTCTCATTCATGTGCTGCGCAGTTTATAATGCTGTTGCGTATTTAATCCACAGATATAGCCATAATGGTCACAGACTCAAAACTGCATGTCTGTGATAGAGGGAGCCCTTTACTGCAAAACTTTTACACATGTTTAAAACTGGCTATGAGGGATAAACTGCTTAATTTTACAGATATGATTTAGATGGAAAAATGGGAACACAAGTATAAAGGTGTACAAATCTAACCCTTGTCTACACTGTAACAAATTAGGGTGCCACACAATTCATTCCTGCTGTCCCAACACAAATCGATTAAGTTAACTAAACAAATTTGGTTGGACTGAACATAAAACAATTAAGTTGTCCCAAAAAACCTCAAGGCTTGTGTCGTTTCAGCTCATTTTAAATAAGTAGTATGAACAAGCAGCTAAAATCCCTCTGTCAAATCAGAAACTGGAAGCAAATAGAAATGCAGAAATGCATCTGCACATCTCCAGGATTTCGAGCACAAGGGCAGGTAAAAACAGCGGTCCACAAATGGTCCAAGTTACTGTTAAAATTGTGAATTTGTGGCACAAGCTTGTTTGATTTACCTCTGCAACATGCTTGTCCCCTACACCCCTATTTGCTCATTACGTTCCTCTGACTCTGGCCTTCTTGCTGTCCCTCGGTACCGCCTCTTTTCAACAGGGGGGCAGGTCATTTAGTGTTATTAAACCCAAACTCTGGAACTCTCTACCATGCTCAAACTGTTCTGTAAATAATATCTCAGAATTCAAATCTTTACTTAAAACTCACTTAGTTTCTGAATGCTTTACTTCTGATCTGCCAAACTGACCAATTTATTTGATCCACCTGCACTCTGATTATTTGTCTCTTAGGTCTTGTTTTGTATTTCCAGTTAGTTATATTTGACTTCCTGTATTTGTGAACATAATGTTGTCTCTTCTTATGTCTGCTTATCCGATATCTTTTTGTTACATTCTTTGTAAAGTGTCCTTGAGCTCTGGAAAGGCGCTATATAAATAAAATGTGTAATTATTAATATTATTATAACTATAATAATAATAATTATTATTATTATTACTATTATTATTATTTTTGATTTGTAAACCATCAAACATACAGATAGCATTTGTACGCGATGAAGTTAATTTTATGACAGGAGACAGGACACGTGTTTGGGTTTACAGCTCTCACATGGACACAACGCTGAGATACACACACCATAATCACATCAACTTTTTACACATGGGCATTTGTTTATGTTTTTACTCTGATACTTCTGATATAATATATATACTCTATTCATGTACATTTTAAAATCATAAAATTAACAAAATATTTGAGTTAAGCATTAATGAATTAATAGTGAAAATTTTTTTTCTTCTATAATATGTCAATCAGAGGGTCAGAGAATATTGTATTATATTTCAAAATATTATAAATATTCATTATTAAAAACTACATATATTAATGCCAAAGTCTAAAATAAAAAATGTGTATGTATAATAAACATAACAACAAACAATAGAAAGGTCAAAAGTGCACAACAGTAAAACTTTAAATACAGTGAGACAAGCAAATATAACATATCTAATTCAAAGTTATTAAACTAAGTCAAGCTATTAATAAAAATACAATACGGCATTAAAATAACACTGCTGTAGTTATACTTTCAAAGACTTTACTTTAAAGACTAAGCTGTTATATTTTAGGCAGATGACACCAGACTTGACATGCAAATTCAAAGACAGATTTACATTTACACATTTAAAATCATGCAAAGTTTCTGATCTGTATATAAAGATGATATTTTGTTACATTTATAAATGCCAGTCTTCTTGCAAAATACACTATACATCTTAAAGCATAGTTAAAGAATCTGCTAGAGAAGCTTTATCATGTCTAGACACACATGTATTTGTAAACTGATCAGATATCCATCATTCCAGTGTTTAGAGTGTTCCTCCGGGTCATGGGACGGCATCACTCCTCTCTCTAAGTCTCTTCCCAATAGTCTATTCAAGTCCCGGTCACCAAACTCTAAATTTAGCACGTCACCGGGCAGATTCATTCTCAGGTTTACTTGCTGTTAGCTATTCTTCTCTTTAATGGCTATAATATGAATGTGTTCACATTTAAGAACACTCTCCTGTCAATCAAACACCTTCTGTGACGCTCAGTAACTGACTTTCACATGAATTTGAAGAGTGCTGACAAATACAAACTGTGCTAACAAACCATCAGATGGTGACAGATTACCTATTCACCTTACTTAACATCTACATCTGGTTAAAGCCCTTGACTGTAACAAAATGAAACAAAAAAATATACTGTCATACTCTATCAACAACCGTCTGCAAATGAAGTTTCAAACTGAGGTTCAAAGACTTTAAATTCTCTGTTGAACAAAATGAGAGAGAGAGAGAAGAGAGAAAAAAAAGACTGAGATAGTCATATTATTTAAATATGTTAATTGAATTTTTATTACAAGTGTTTTACTTGTCTCCCATTTATATCGAAGGTGATATTTAGCCGCACCATATTGGTGTTTGGTAACATAGTTTTTTGAGGTGAGCTGTTAGCTCAACTCTCAACTCCCAATCTGGAGGACTATTACAAATGTATTCTCATAACTAATTGATTATGCATGCAAAAAAATAACTCACTCTAAACTGTTTTACTGATTTCAATTCAAATCCCAGGATTTTGCCATTTTAAAAGTAAAAATGTAAAATATAAGTTGTAAATATTTGATTACTGTAATAGAAAGTAGAAAAGACAAACAAATAATCTGTAAGATAAACAAAAATTAACATTGTCAAGCTAATTCTGGCTTACTTTTTATCTTTATTACAATATACCATCAGTTATTCACTTTAATAACAATTGTTTTACTACAAATAAAAAATGTTATTGTAATTAAACCATGGTCGCCACAAATCAACCACGGGTTTAGCTACACTAACCACAGTTTAACTGTAGTATTTGTAGTTAAGCTGTGTTTATACAAATGATAATTACTGTGCTAAAACACTGATACCACAATAACAACCCAAGGTTAATCTGAGTAAAGAAACAATTATTGTTAATTGACAGTCCAAATATGCCTTTATGCATTAAATAAGTCTTTATAAAATAAATAGCATCACATCTGGGGGTCCTTGGCACACAAAGCCCTGGTCTAAATGAAATCACTTTGTTTATCAATATACAGCCTATACAATATAAACGCAAGAGGACACAAATAAACAATTTTTTGTATGATAGCACTTTTTATTAAATAACTACAGGCTGTTACAGACTGCGCTCAAATTTACTAGACTATCAATTTTGTATATATTTTTTTAAATTTCTCACAAATGCAAGTGCTAAAATAATATGTTATTTTCTAACAAATCTATGTGCTTATAGATCTTTACATGTCAAACATGCTCACATACCAGACCCTCGTCGGTAAGAACGTTATTTGAACATGAACATATTAAACATATATTAAACATATTCATCAATGAATGTTGTTATTTATTTGTTACAAACAGTTTGAGAGTTAGGACGTTTATATGAAAGACAAAACAAACGTATAAAGTTTCATTCAGTGACTGAAATGCCAAAGGTAACGCTGAAAGCAACAAACAACATGCAAAAACTCCATCCGCATGTCAAAGTCTTACCAGTAGATGAGCGAAAGTCCATCAAAACGCTCGAGCTCTCTCCCCCGGGGATTCAAATAGGACATTGCATCCAAAAAGAAACGTGGAGGTTGAAATAGTCTGCTCTGAAAACGGAATTAAAAGCTGCCTGTGAATATTACCGCCAGACACATCACATCACCGCGACTTCATGTCATGCTGTTGGAGTCGCAGCCTTGCTCAAGAGTCAGCGCTCATTCAGCATCAAATCAATGATACAGCAACTGCCAGGCGAGAGAGAGACTCAACCATGCCAGTTTCTAATCTGTAAGACACGTGGTTTTCATGCTGACCTGGCCGTCTGCTAGACAAAATCTACATCTTGTCGACAAACCAAACCCCTCTGGTCACATTACTTTGACTTTTCAGGTAATGTCTGAATGCGTGTTATAAGATGTGAGAGTCCCAAACTCACTGTTGCTGCATCTGACAACTCCGTACCGAGAGGACGTTTTAGGGCATCTTGTTTCATAGACAGGTAACTAAGCTTTGAAGCAGGCGATTAATATACAGAGATATGAGATTATAATTTGTGAATGTGTGCAGTCAGTCAGAGGTGAAGCCTATGACCGTTCAGCTTCAGGTAACTGAGATTAATGGTTCCGCTGCTAAACCGTCCTGAGAGATCCGCTGCACTGCAGCCTAAACACCAGCGGGGTTTCCAATTTCCTCACGTAGACGATTGTTTGTAACGCCAATGTGTCTCTGTAGCTTCATACTATAAGCTGAATTGAAACCTGTGTCTACATTTGATATGTTGGTGCATCACTCTTATGCTTAGTTATCAGAATCAAGTATGCAAAAAGATTTGTAGTATTACAAGCAATAAAAAATACAGTGAAGAATGAACCAGTCATATTTGGTTTGTGATTTAAAACTTCTGTCATAGATCTTCCATTCATACTTGCAGAATCTAAATACATTGGAAAAAACAGAACAGCAAAACATTTGTCTTGTCATATTAAATTAATTGCACTGAAAAAAAATATTCAAAGAGGATTCCTTGGATTTTCCCAGAGATGGGTTGCGGCTGGAAGGGCATCCGCTGCGTAAAAACTTGCTGGCTAAGTTGGCGGTTCATTCCGCTGTGGCGACCCCGGATTAATAAAGGGACTAAGCTGACAAGAAAATTAATGAATGACTGAATGATTCCTTGGATTTACTAAATTTTATAGAGTTAAGTGGTTGTAAACAAATTTTTGGGCTGAATTTAAACAAACAAATTAAGTTGAACATTTCTAAATTTAATTTGTTTGTTTAATTTAACACATATAAATTGTTTGCAACAATTTTGCATAAATCATGTAAAATTAGTAAAAGGTTTTTTTTTTTTTTTTTACCTTATTCTCTTTTACTGTTCAAAACCACAGCACTGATTTACCTTTCTTTAAGCTATTAATGTACTGAATTAAATTTAGAAACTTTCAGTCTAGTAAACTTGTTAAGGCAACCATTTTATCTAATTAAATAAGGGAAAAAAGCATACATCCCTTGCATTGACAGAGTTTTCAGCGCTCCAGATCAATGAAATTTAGAGTGGTTTGAGGGATGTTCCATCTAACCAGTTGTATCTGGATGCAGCCTTTTTGATGCAAGCTGAGACTGCATCACTCAGTGATGCAATGTCAGACACAATGCACTCAAATGGAGCTAGTGACGTCACTGTGAAGGGTATGGTTAGGGGTGGGGTTAGGTGAGCCCGTTAAAAAGCATCTATTACATAGTGAATTGTGATAGGCCATTGTTTCATTAATATTTAACCATAGCATATTCACATGTTGTAGACAGCAAAGCCCCACCTTCTATTTGACTGATCTCAGTTGAATGACATTAGAAGGCTGAGTCAGACCAGCACAAATATATGAATAATACAACGTTTTGTCATGGTGATGCGGTGGTGCAGTAGGTGCTGTCGCCTCACAGCAAGAAGGTTGCTGGTTCGAGCCTCGGCTGGGTCAGTTGGCGTTTCTGTGTGGAGTTTGCATGTTCTTCCTGTGTTCACATGGGTTTCTTCTGAGTGTTTCGGTTTCCCCCACAGTAAACAATGCGTTACAGGTGGATTGGGTAGGCTAAGTTGTCCATAGTGTATGAGTGTGAATGAGTGTGTATGGATGTTTCCCAGAAATGAGTTGCAGCTGGATTTAGCAGCTGCTGTGTAAAAACATGTGCTGGATAAGTTGGCGGTTCATTCTGCTGTGGCAACCCTGGATTAATAAAGGGACTAAGCTGAAAAGAAAATGAATGAATGAACTTTTTGTCATCCCATTAAAACCAGAGCAGCATCTATATCAAATACTGAAGTCAGGGAAAGGACAATTAGACCAATTCTAATTAGTGGGGGGACTTGTTCTTCTGTGTATATTGTCCTGTGTTGAATATGTCCACAAAAGCAATGGTCACTGTGACTGTTTTAGTTTAGTTTCTGTTTCACTTGGTTTGACATGGTATAATTACAATATAAAATGCTCTGTTGTGTCAATCCAAATGTGGGTAAAATATTAACAAACCCAACCTTCACTGTAAAAAAAAAAAAAACAATTAGTGGACTATACATATTAAAAAAATGAGTAAATCCGTTGCTTTAAAATGATTAAGTAAACAAAGTATGAGCATAAATATAACACTTAAGTTACACCAGGTTTACTAATCACTTTTTACAGTCTAGGTTACAGCTAGGCAAGGCAATGCAAGTTTATTTATATAGCACATTTCATACACAGTGGCAAATCAAAGTGCTTTACATAAACAAGAGTAAAAAAAGACAGGTATAACAAAATAAAAACAAACAAACAATAAAATGATTAAATGCTTGGTTATAAATGTCTTTTAATTTACAAACATTGTGGTTGGAACAATGCAAAAATATTAGTATGTTACATTTTAAACTAGAGATCATTCCTATCATTCATTCATTCATTTTTCTTTGGCTTAGTACCTTTATTCATCAGTGGTCGCCATAGCAGAATAAACTGCCAACTTATCCAGCATATGTTTTACACAGCGGATGCCCTCCCAGCTGCAACCTAGTACTGGGAAACATCCATACACATTCAGTCACACACATACACTACAGACAACTTATTCAAATCACATATACACATGTTTTTGGACTAATGACAACCCGGAGCATGGGGAGAACATGCAAACTCCACACTGAAATGCCAACTAGCTCAGCCGGGACTCAAACCAGTGACCTTCTTGCTGTGAAGCAACAGTGCTAACCATTGAGCCACCGTGTCACCCCTTGAGCCTATCACTTAAAGAAAAACACTTCAGTTTAGTTTATTGGCCATCATTATAAGACGATTAAGACAATGAAGCAATGATATGATGATCAAGAAATGTCCTTAATATTGTTTAGCTTCGACACGTGTGCTCTCCGTTATTTTGTTCTTTTAAACAGTGCTTTTCAAACTTTTAATCACCTTGGACATTCTTTTGTTTAAAACTATTTTATTTGAAACTTTTCCATGGACCCACTGGCACTCCTTTTGCGTGGGACCTGAGCATAAAAACCATTCCAAAACTTAGAGGTGTTGTTCAGAACCTGAAACATGTTTTCCAAGCCTCAGTCAAAACTATTCGACTCCCCCTAGCGGTGAGGTTTGGTACTTTGCAGAAAAGTAAACATGCATTGCTGTCTATTGAAGGTGAACTTTCTGTTCCTGGAGGACCATTGTCATGTAGAGTTTAGCGCTAACCTTAATTAAACATACCTGACAAAGCAAATCAAGGTCTTCAGGCCCACTACAAACTTCCAGGCATGGAACGGAACAGTTCTGCACTAATCTGACAGATTTAGTGAGACATCAGCTAGTAGGCCTACACCATCCCATCTTACACACTCAGTATTGAAGTGTGTCACAGGTCGCAGAAGACTGGCATTTAATAAGAATGTTGCAAATGTGCCTCACTCAGGTTTTAGAGTAAGTGATACTGCCTGACAAAGAAAACAATCACTTCATAGGGTTTAGTGCCATGGTTCATTTAGTGGCACGGTGACTACAGTGCTTGACATTCTTTGAATGAGATCACGGTGTGAGGTGGAAAATGACAGAAAGAGTGACTGAATGGGTGTGGCTGCATGTTTCAGATAGTATAGTAGATCAGTGTGCATTACTGTTGCTCTGTCATCATTCCTCCTTATCTGTAAGGCAATGTTCCTTTCTGTCTTAAGCAAGCCGAGGAGAATTACAGCGTTTGATGGCAGATTCCCTAAAGAGACACTTTTAACAACACATCTTATTAGTCACAACACAATGACTTCTTTAAAAGCATGTTTAACACTCTTTTTCATGATAATAAATGTCTGGGGCCAGGCAGGATTGGCTGGTTTTTCTCCGAGCCTCCCCGTTCCAGAATGTAGGTGGGGCTGCACGGTTTGCAGTGTTGGACCCGGCCGAGCAGGTTCCGCTCATTCTTGACTTGGGTGTGGTTGTCACCTGTATGTGCCAATGCCACTCCATTACAGGTACAGGTTGCGCTGACAGCTGCTCTCAGCTGTACGATTCTCCAATCAGATATTCCAGTCTACTGAGACCAAAAAAAAAAAAAAAACACAAGCAAATTCTGACAGGGTGAATGGGGTGATTAGGCAACGGTGGCTGATAATCATTTCTCTGTTGGGGATTTGAGACCATGGCCAGTCTGGTTTGCTAAACTGTGGCTGTGCCATAACAGGATTGCTGCAACACAGCAGTTTTGTGTGTCAGAGGGTCTTTGGGAGGTTTTCAAACTCACTGAGCCTTGGCTTTCCTGCTTTGTGCGCAGAGGATTCAGACATTCTCTGGACTCACTCTGCATGCCCTAAAGAGAGCTCCTGAACCAAAGGCAGATGTAGTAGTGCTGTGACTCAAATATACTAAGAAATCTTTGGTATGTTGTACAGAAACAGGAACACTGTTTTCAATATGTACAGTAACAAAACCAAACAAAAGATGCAGTCAAATTTACTTTTGCTGCTTTTTAAGGAATCTAATCATTTCAGTTGGAATGGATGTAGGAATTTTGGATAAAAGGGTGAAATGTTTCACTACTTGGAGTTTGCATTGTGAATTTGCAGTACTGACCAACAGCATTCTGCTTGGTTTGACTTACGTGTGCATGTGCTTTGTTCCTCACTGATGACAGTGAATGATGGACCTTTTTTGACTTAGCGCACCTTAACAATGTGAAAAATGTAGAAAATGGGGAGTTTGGAGTCTGAGTCTGATTTGTACCTGTTTGACAAAGCCAAGCTATGGTCACATAGTCTAATGTAGTTCAATGACATAATCATGAT